TGCGGGGCGTTCAAAGCTTGACAAATAGCCCAAATCCAAAGAGAAGGCAGAAAGCACCCGTTCTGTGTGCAGGTGTCAGACAGGGGGGACTACTGCTGTGTGCTCCAGTCTTGAGGAGAAAATGAGCCTGAGATGATCTCAACAGCAACGCTGAGCAAACGCAAAGGCTGGACATTCTAGTCAGCCCAGGGCTGCCGCCCGCCGCCGCAGCTCGGCCAGTCGGGGTGCCCGGCTCTGCCCTCCGCGCGCTCGCGCCCCTCTTAGTCCCACCCGCACTCGCACCCGCACCCCCACCCCCCAAGCCAAGAAAAACCGCAAAAGCCAGAAGCAAACCCCTTTCGGTGCAAAGCCGCCGACGCACGGCGAGCCGCCCAGTGCGCCCGCAGTCGGAGCAGCTGTGCCCCGTTCGTTCCTGTTTGGGGAGCTGTGTTTTGAAAAAGTTCCTGGTGAGAATTGCATATCCAGTCGAGCGTGTCTGTTGGAAGTTAGTTAAACTAGTGGAGCCGAAGGGAACGGGAGTTGGCGTTCCAAATATGCTGGCCCCGTCCTACGTGAATGGCATGCTGAGGATGCCCAGTAACCAAGCACGTGGTGTTCCCTCCCGCTGTCCACCCAGCCTACTTTGTTTGGAATCCGATTTGCTATTAATTGGCAGCGTTAATGACATGAGTTGCATATAGCATATTGGCTTGAGCAGCGTGCCGAGGAATGCCTCAGTAGGAAGCATGAAATGTTACCCGTTGACTCAGGAGGAAAACAAATACGGTCCGGTGGGCACCCCCACAGCACGGGCAGGGACCCTGAGTGGCCTCGCAGGCTTCCGTGGACGTGGAAGGAAGATGAGGGACCTGCAAGATGCGATTACTGTTACGTGGCCAGTTCTCTTTGTGAGACCACAGAGTGTGTTGAGGCAACATAGTATGGGACCCAGAGTTCAACATCAAGAGAAGCTGGGAGAGTCTCAGACGTCAGTGCCTTTAAAAGCTGTTCTGTTTAGAGTGTTGCTTGTTTCTGTCGTGCAAAAGGGACGGCAGGCTTGTCAGGGTTTTGGAACTAGTTTGGCTAAGTAGACACCTTAGTGACTAATTCCAAACTCTCGATGAATCTGTCAAAGTCATGTATCAAGGTAAATCATCCAGAATCCAGTTTTTAAAAGAGGTTAAATGTACACAGCGTTAACTGTGACTCGGTAAGGGCAGAAGACACCTGACAGCTCCTGTAGTTACAATTGAACATTTAATTCTTAAGAAATACTAGTGTTTTGTGATGGATTCACATATTAAATATTTTACTCTTAGAGGTAGAGAAAATAATTTATTGCAACACTGTGCAAGCCTGTTGATGGCTATTTCTTTTCTAACATGGTGGCAAATACTTTTTGAAATCAGAAGTTTCTAATTGATTTCCTTCCCCTTCCTCCTCTTCCTTCCCACCTTCTCCTCTCCCTCCCTCCCTGCCCCATCCCTCCCTCTTTTTCTCCTTCCCTCCTTTCCTGCCTTCCACTTTATCCCTCCTTCCTTCTTTTCTCTCCCTCCTTCCCTCCCTCCTCCTTTCCCTCTCTCCCTTCCTCCTTTCTTCCTCCCCTCTTTCTTTCTTCCCCCTCAGTTCAGTTAGTAGTAAATGTATTTACTGGGTTGGCCTCAGTAATCTCTCTAGCAGTGGCCTATTTGTGTGCCATTTTGGGAATTTCTCTGAGATAGGAATCTCGAAGATAGAATTAATTTCTAGGGGAAACTTCATAGCCTGTGCATGAGCGCGTTCTTTATCACCTGTCTCCATTTGGCATTCGAAGAAGGTAAATCAAAGCGTGCGATTTGTTATTCTGCTCCACTTGAGAGCTGAACTAAATAACACTTGGTCTGAAATTCTGATTGAAGTTGTAGGAGGATATACTGTATTTAATTTAATGCCCTTTAATAGCATCTTCTTGTTCAGCTTGGATGCTGTCATTTTAAAGGTTGGATCTGAGAAGGTTTAACCTATAGGGAGAGGGAGGAGTAATAACGGGGCAAAGGGGCAGAGGAACATTACAGAGGCGATGAGGGAGGGAGTTATAAACTAAGCGTTGCAAACAGCAATAATCACAAACTTGGCCTGTTATCCAAACAGTTGTTTTATGCCCCAAGGGTTTGGTTTGTTATCAGGGTTTAAATGCTCTTAGCACTGTAAGTGTAAATGTTACACATGAAGTTGCTTTGGTTCTGTAATGAGAAGGCAGTTTGGGAGGGGGATGTTGCTCCTGGTTACCTGCTTCAGCTAGGTGGAGGCCCTGGCCGGCTGCGTTTGCACTTGGTGCCGAATTTGCTGCTTCATGGGAGTGTTTCTCTGTAAGTGTTGAACACAGATGTGTTTAGAGGAGGTGACTTTCTGTGGACGTGTTGTAAGTTGTCTCCTTCCATTTACTCACAAAAACAGTTTCCAAATCACCGATTTTACAAAAGCATTTATGGAGACTACTGCTTTTCAAATATACTTGTGGTCAGAAACTTCCATAGGGGAAAAAAAAATCTGTCTTTTGAATTGCCTCCTTTATTTATGAAATGGCTGGCTTAAGTTTGAGAGTACAGAGCTCATTCCTTGTAAGTTTTAGAAAAAGCCACTTGTTCTTGACAATGCCTTTCGTTACGATGTAGTGCTACTCAGATGTCTCCGAATCCTACATACAGAAAGTGCCTCGTGAGATCCTGGAAGAGCAAGCTGGAGACTCTGTGTATAAACTTGTTTGATTTTCCTGAAACTCCAATAGATTTCAAATCATGGAGCGCTGCCACAGAGATTTTTCTGCTTTGTGGATGTATAGGACAGAAGATCAGACGGATGCCCATGCTCCTTTGCAAAGCATATTCAGGTAGCATGGAATTGTGGGTTTAAAAGTAAAGGTGGGGGTGGAGTTTTTTTTGGCAATCTTTCTCTCTACAGTGTAAAGCTTAAACGGAGTGATAAATGATGATATGCATTGTCTAACACTTGCTTATATATATAAATAGCTCCACAAGATTGCTTAAATGATAATCGAAAATATGAAATAGGATGGCCTTCGTATCGCAAGGCCAAGGGTCCACAAATGGAAAAACTGAAATAATGAAATATTTCCAAGGCAACAGACTGTCAACAAGAACTGTAATGCATGGGCATATCCTAGATCCACGAGAGAGGATATTGGATGGCAGAGCTCCAGAGTCAAGAGTTCTAATGACCTGGATTACACAGGACAGCCCCCCCCCCCCTTCACAGCTTCCTGATTTCCAATTTCTTATTTATGAATTGAGAGACTCCAAGTGAGCAACATGCCCATCATTAGATTTCACTTGATACAGTGAGCAAACTGGAATTCAGTGTCACTTGATGCTTTTGGTCTCTTGCGAAAAGTTACGTGAGGTATTTTCAGTGCCTGATGCTGTTATGATCGAAGTTTTGCTCCTCAGGTCTTTCTGTATTCTTAAAATGTGACTTGGATGTTTGACTCAAAGTTACGTGTAGTGAGTACCCCTGCCAGCAGTAAATTTGGTAAGAGGTACATGGCTCTTTAAATATAATCTACAAATTAAAACAGTTTGATAATTTCACTAATGTGAATTTGGGGTTTATCCTGCAATTCTTCCATATATTTATTTAGCTCTAAAATAGAACCATTGTATGGGAATGACAGGATTTCTAAGAACCATTAACTTTTTTTTCTCTGCCCTTCATCTTGGCGTGGGATTCCCTGGCATGTTAAAACGCCACCTGTTTGAAGTGCGACATGCAGTCCTGTATCTTTGGCGACATTTCCTGCAATTGGGTACAACATACCTGCACGTCCATACACACGAATAACATGCTTTTATAAAACGGCACTTTGGGGAGAGGTTACAGGCAGCTTTTATTTAGATTTTTAAAAACAAACTGTCAAGATTCATACTTTGGCATCTTGATGGGGAATATGTCACAGAAGGTTCTCAAACACTCCAGGTAATGCTTTCTCTTGTAACCATCCTCAGGTGCTTTGTTATCCATAACAACCCCAGTCTGGTTTTTCTGCAATTGTGATTTTCTTTCTTAGGCAGACTGTCACTCAATTTAAGGAGAGTGGAAGGCACATGAGAATGGAACCATCCCTGCCCCATACTATGTTTTGCATGGCCTGCTTTTCCTACTTTACAGCATTTAATCATTTTAGTTTTTTTTGTTTGTGTGTGTGTGTATGAACAGCTGTGTATTGCAATTGGTGTAGAATCCAGCTTCATTGTTTCATGGATGTGTCTTTAGCTGTTTAGGATGGCTGAGTTGGAAACTTAGTGAAGAAGTTAGTATGTTGAAATTTTTCATTGAGTGGTTGATTAAACATTACACTTAAAGTCTTAAATGTTACCAGAGTTGCACATACAGGAATATATAAAACTTCAAATATTTAAATCAGTGATTAGGTGGGAACTTCAAGAATTTATGGGAAAATTCAGTTGTTTGCATTTAATGATGTTAGTATTTTCACAGTCAATAGTGGCCTTTTTTTCCCCTCATTGGACAGTGTAATAAACCAACTGTAACTGAATGGTATTTTTACTGCGCTGGGCCTCATTAGTGTGAATAGGATGTTTGCACTATTAAGTTTGATAGAACCTTACATAGTTAGAATAATTTGTAGTAATATTAGTAATACTGCAGTGCATAAACAGGATATGGCTCAGAAAGAATAGAATGACTGCAGCGGGGCCTGCAAGGACCCCGGCAGTCACAAGAGGAAGCAGCCCCAGAGGTGGTTGTCTGTGTGCATTTGTCAGGTGTTATGTTGTGGTGCATTAATGGAATACCTGTAGTATGTGTACAACATCATGCGGTGCACGATGACAGCCTCCTGGCCCTGGCCTGTGGTTATCAATGGGCTCTTCCACTCAGCTCTGCTTACCGAACCTCTGCCTTGGAGCACAGTGGCCTGTGCTGGGGACAGTGTTGGGTCATGTGCCCTGTAAGAGCAGTAGCTTGGGTTGTAGACGTGCCCTTAGACTGGACATGCAAAAAGTTATGGAGACTCAGAAAACAACCTTTTCTGAGATGGGAAAAAGTGCAGAATTCATGGAAATATAAGGCTATCTTTCCACTTCTGCCAGCTTTGTGTTCTGGCAAGATAGGCAACTGATTTGTGAACGATTGTAATTGGTTACTGTAAGTGGGTTAGAGGCTCAGAAAGGAAAGAAAGGGAAGCATTGCTGACTACATATAGGGCATTTCAAAAGTTTCATGGGGATGGAATGAAACAGTAACCTTTTTTGGGACAAACGTTCTGAAATTCATGCAAATTTTTCATAATGCATTTTCCATGACAGTTCTTACACCACAATAAACTTACCCTTTTATTCCATTTTCCACAGACTTTTTGAACTATGCTTGTGTAAAGTGAAATTACAGATTTTAGAAAAGAAGTTTGGATGGGATTTGACAATTGATTGCATGTAATGAACACTTACTACACCAGCTGCGTTTCAGACACTGTATGTGATACTGCGAGGTGATCTTCTCATTAATGTTGCCACTGTCCTTATAATAGCCCCCACACATGGTAGAACAAATAGAGGCTTAACAACCCTAGTGAAGGTGAGATTGAAGAGAGTTTGTGTCCAGTGAGGATTTAGGCCATGTAGTCTCTGTGGATGCGTAACAAGTGTGTGTGTGTGGAGGGGGGAGAGATTGACAGATTTTCCTATTTTCCCAAATCAGAGACACATGACTTTTCACAGAATTCTAGTAATAGAAGGACCCATTAAACTACGGCCAGTGACCCTTGTTTCTTCTGTTTCGGTCCTTCATCAGGTATTTGGGGAACTTCTGAAAGGTAGTGTTTAGAAAGTCCTAGGAGGAATCAGTGTTTGGAGTATCCTCACCTCACACTTCAACATTCCAGGAGACTTTA